GCTTTTCTCCTATTTTCTGCCCCAGTCTGATGGTTCTCCAGATCATAGTCTAACACAGGACTTACACTCACTCCTCTGAAACCTGGACAGTTCTCTTCTTTAACGAGGAATTTCTGCATAATTAAGCATTTAAGACGTCATTCAGAGAGTCAGAACTGTTCAGTGGTGGTGATAGGAACCAGACGTCCACCTCTAAAAGCTCCCTCACAGAAAGTTACTACATGAAGTGCTTATGAATTCACTGCCTGATGCCCACGATAAACTTCTAGACTAAAACATAGTTTAAGTGTATGTAGGGTGGAGGGGTGAGGCAATGTAGCACCCCAAAAAGTGTTTTTTTCACATTTACTATTTACCTTTATTACCTATATAATCACAAATAAAAACTCAAAAGAGACATATTCACTGTAAACAAGACGAGTTAGCAGTATATTTACAGTAAAGTAGTGTCTACTAGTTGCATTACGTTAACAGTAATTTACTGAACCATATTAACAGTAAATAACAGTAAAATAACAGCTGTGTACTGTGACTCCACACTGACCTGCACAACAACACCACTGTGCTGTAGCTGCATTCTGCTGTACATTTAAGGTAATAAACTGTATTTAAAATATGGAAATTTCCTGTAATTTTACACAACAACTGTAAATGGAAAGCAACTCATTTATGAATAAAAATGAAAAACTTCATAAATATCACTGCTGTCAGAACAAAACCTCATTTCTCATTTTTCAGTTTTTGACATTGAAAATACCTGTTGTCCTTTAAAATTGTGACTAAATTTCATGTTGAATGGTCCAAAAGATTGGGAGTTTATGGGAGTTTATTCAGAAAAAACAGTCTGGTTACACTGACTTACACTGAATTAATTTTTTTCTCTCTCTCTTGTGAAGTTACCATTTTGGAGATACAAGATTTTGCTCCAACAGCAGCGATATGTAAATTGAAATAAATAAATATTAAACTATTTATTTACAGATGACTTTATTTCATAAGAAACTGATAAACACAGTGTTTTACGCTGAACAATTAATGTTAAATACTACAAAATCCTGGCAATAAGTCAAATCAGTGTTATGTCACAACAACAAAGACCTTATTTCCGGGTGGATAATACTCCAATAACTTCACCATTAACTGGACTATGTGGTCAATGTTTTATCATGAGCAGCACCAGCCATTCATTTGCAGTGTTTAATGAAAAAACATAACTTTATAAGCAGCTTTTATTTCATCTGTTATGATAACACTAATAGCTGTTATGTTAGTTAACGATGCATTCACTGGGTTTCAGATTACTTTCATCAGCATTTACAAGCCGGAAAACTGGAAAAAAAACAATATAGTGGAAAATCAGAAAGGTTTCAGTTATTACAATTTGCTTTTTTAAAGTTTTTTTTATAGATTTATTGTTGAAAAATGATATAAAATAAAGTTTAATAGTAAGGATAAATAATAATAGGATCACCAATATGATCACCATCGCCATGCCTACAGTAAGAGAGAGGACAGTGGAGGCTCAGTGACGGGGGCATCTTGCTTAGCTTTCCAATTGCATTTTACCTTTACCCCCCACCCCGGGGGTAACAGTATGGGGTCGCTGGCAAATCCAAAATGGCTATTTCAAGCTTCCTCTGAGCCTGGAGCGGTTCATGCCGTGGATTAAAAGCATGTTGCCGCTGTAGCAGTGCGGGGAGGGCGCTGGTTACTCCATGCCACATCTCTAAATGGCCTACTAAACAGCTTTGAGCTGTGCGTCCTCCACATATCTGTGCAAATAACATTAGCTCGTTTTCCTCCTTTCATCCTTCCGTTCCTTCCCCGAAGTTCAAAAAGTAATCTTGACTCCGAGCGGCCTGTTGCGATAAGGCCTTTGAACTGGGTCAAGGACTCGGACTAAAGTCACTCAGCCGCAATTACAGCACATACAGACACCGAGGGCTGTCGAGTGATACAATCCCACTCTCAGGATTTGGAAACTCATTGTTTCGGATTCTTCATAAGCGAATCCGCTCGGCCGCCGTTCTGCAGCCCTCGAGAAGCTGAAGTGGGTAATTATGCCCAGTTCTTATCAGAGAGACACTTGTGTTGTGGTAGAGCAGCCTGGTCAACTGATAACATACTGTACATTAGAAAATAGAAGCCTTCACACTGACACATCTGGAAATAACCTACAGTGGTGTGAAAAAGTGTTTGTCCCCTTCCGGATTTCTTATTCTTTTGCATGTTTGTCACACTTAAATGTTTCAGATCACCAAACAAATTTAAATATTAGACAAAGATAACACAAGTAAACACAAAATGCAGTTTATAAATGAAGGTCTTTATTATTAAGGGAAAAAGAAATCCAAACCTACAGGGCCCTGTGTGAAAAAGTGATTGCCCCCCGTGGTTTATCACATCTTTGGAAAGCTGAGTTCAATTTCCCTAGCCACACCCAGGTCTGATTACTGCCACACCTGTTCTCAATCAAGAAATCACTTAAATAGGACCTGCCTGACAAAGTGAAGTAGACCAAAAGATCCTCAAGAGCTAGACATCATGCTGTGATCCAAAGAAAGGAACAAATGAAAAACAAGGTAATTGAGATCTATCAGTCTGGAAAAGGTTATAAAGCCTTTTCTAAAGCTTTGGGACTCCAGAGAACCACAGTGAGAGCCATTATTCACAAATGGTGAAAACATGGAACAGTGGGGAACCTTCCCAGGAGTGGCCGGCCGACCAAAATTACCCCAAGAGCGCAGCGATGACTCATCCAAGAGGTCACTAAAGACCCCACAACAACATCCAAAGAACTGCAGGCCTCACTTGCCTCAGTTAAGGTCAGTGTTCATGACTCCACCATAAGAAAGAGACTGGGCAAAAATGGCCTGCATGGCAGAGTTCCAAGACAAAAACCACTGCTTAGCAAAAAGAACATAAAGTCTCATCTCAGTTTTGCCAGAAAACATCTTGATGATCCCCAAGACTTTTGGGAGAATACTCTGTGGACTGACGAGACAAAAGTTGAAGTTTTTGGAAGGTGTATGTCCCGTTACATCTGGCGTAGAAGTAACACAGCATTTCAGAAAAGGAACATCATACCAACAGTAAAATATGGTGGTGGTAGTGTGATGGTCTGGGGCTGTTTTGCTGCTTCAGGACCTGGAAGACTTGCTGTGGTAAATGGAACCATGAATTCTGCTGTCTACCAAAGAATCCTGAAGGAGAATGTCCGGCCATCTGTTAATGACTTCAAGCTGAAGCGCACTTGGGTTCTGCAGCAGGACAACAATCCAAAACACACCAGCAAGTCCACCTCTGAATGGCTTAAGAAAAACAAAATTAAGACTTTGGAGCGGCCGAGTCAAAGTCCTGACCTGAATCCGATTGAGATGCTGTGGCATGACCTTAAAAAGGCGGTTCATGCTCGGAAACCCTCCAATGTGGCTGAATTACAACAATTCTGCAAAGATGAGTGGCCAAAATTCCTCCACAGCGCTGTAAAAGACTCATTGCCAGTTATCGCAAACGCTTGATTGCAGTTGTTGCTGCTAAGGGTGGCCCAACCAGCTATTAGGTTTAGGGGGCAATCACTTTTTCACACAGGGCCCTGTAGGTTTGGATTTCTTTTTCCCTTAATAATAAAGACCTTCATTTATAAACTGCGTTTTCTGTTTACTTGTGTTATCTTTGTCTAATATTTACATTTGTTTGGTGATCTGAAACATTTAAGTGTGATAAACATGCAAAAGAATAAGAAATCAGAAAGGGGGCAAACACTTTTTCACACCACTGTATATGTTCAAGCTACACATGAACACCTTTGGGATGAGTTGGTGTGATGAAGCTCCACTGAACATCTTTACCATGAGTTGGAATGATGAAGATCCATTGAACACCTTTGGGATGAGCTGGAATGACAAAATCCATTGAACGCCTTTGGGTTGAGTTGGAGTGATGAAGATCCATTGAACACCTTTGGGATGAGCTGGAATGACAAAATCCATTGAACGCCTTTGGGTTGAGTTGGAGTGAAGAGGCTTCACTTAACGTGTTCTGGATGAGCTAAATTGATGAAGCTCAACTTAACCCATGTGGGTTGACTTGGAATGTTCCACTGAAAACCTCTGGGCCACAAGGTGGTTAAAGGCTTTTGTAGATATAAAAAATCATATCTTAGTGTCATAAAATGGATCAGTACGTGTGAGGGACCAATATAATGGACTTATGTGGTGGGTGGAGCTCATAAAGTGGTACAAGGTAGGGGTTTCTAATAAAGTGGACAGGGAGTGAAATGGCTCATAATATGCAGGAAAGTTCACAAATCTGCATACATTGGTGTGTCTGGACTTGCCGCGGGCCATGAGCTTTGGAAGCAGTAAACATCAGGGTCACTTCTCCATCTTTATACATTCGGTATGGCCAGCGAGTCTCTATTTCACACACTATTAAAGCAGGCCCAGTGGTGCGGGAACGAAGTCCGTGCAGCTTATGGAATGGAAAAGCAGGACATTTCTGAATTCTGTCTTTTGAAAATCCCCCAGGCGTCCCGCGCGGGTTTATGACCCGCAGATTAGCGGCGTTTTGTGGCGCTTTGTACGGCCGGCGGCTATTTCTAGAGGAAAACTGATTTTCATACTGATGTGTGGTGTTGAGTCCTCTCCAGTCCACATATTGGCTCATGCATCACCTGGCTGCTGCAGCTGACAAGTCGCACTGATAGCGCGCAGAGGCGGACTGTTCCTCCTTTAATAAATAAACAAGTTAGCCACCGCTGCTGCCGTTTACCCGCTGCAGACGCGCTGCGACACATTTCATTACCATTAAGATTGTATGGGGCCTCAATCACCTTCATCGCAGCTCAGCGCAGTTCTCCCTGCACAGCGTGACTGTACCGCCATACAGGCCGTAATTAGAGTGAAATAGGGCCGCGTCGTAATGCTGCTACCATTACAGAGAGAAAATCATCAGCTATTCTAATGGAGGACAGGTTTTGAAATACTGCTCGTGTTTTAATTTGACCATTTATTCTCAGTCTACCAGCCCAGATTAATGTTGACACAAACTAATTTCGTCCCACGCATTGACCTGTGAATACGTGTGCATTGCATTAACATGCAGCTAAACACTAACCTGGACTGAAAGGCGGTGGATGATAATAATAATAACAATAATACAATAACAAAAATAATAATAACAATAACAGTAATACAAAGCACTTCTACTAATAACAGCAATATTTTTTTTTCCAGTCATTTTGAGGCGGTTCCTGACCCTGAAGTGGACGCAGTAAACACAGCAACAGCTTAAGAATTGAAGATTTCTCTTTGTCTAATAGTAGAACATAATAAAAGTGCAGTTCAGTAGTTGTGGTTGTAGTTTATTGTAATCTTTGACCCTGAAACTGGAATGAATCTAGCGATAAATAACAGAATTGCGAATGGGACATGAACTTCAGGCCTGAGGCTGTGGTGTCTGAGGCCACTTAGCCTGAGGTGTTTTTGTCTGAGGCAGTTTGTCCTGATGTTCTGTTGTTCAGCTGAGACAGACAGTGTTTTTTCCCGAGAACTGAATCCGTTTGCTGATGTGTGGAACGCTGTGGTCTCTGGATACACTAAAACCAACACTGTAGTACAGGTGGCTTTTTGTACAGGCATGATATCGGCCAGCCTCAACAGCTCACAGCTCAGTACGATTCAAGACCACTGTTCTCATCCCCATGCTTTACTAAGTTGTGGCCACAACTTAATTATCTTGGTCCCATGACTTACTTATCATGTTCCTATGCTGTATAGAGTTGTGGCCAACTATCTTATTCCCACAACTTACAAAGTCATGGCCATGACTTAACTATCACACCTTAACTGTCTCGTTCCCATGACTTAACAATATCAACTTAGTTATCTGGTTCCTACAACTTAATTATCATGTTTCTATGCCTTATTAAATTGTGGCCATAACTTAACTAACTTAACTAACTAACTTTACTAAGTTGTAGCCATGACGACTATCACAACTTAATAATCTGGTGGCCATGATTTGACTGTCTTGTTCCCATACCTTACTAAGTCATGGCCATGCCTTAACGATCACTTGTTGATTATCTTGTTCCCACAACTTAACTGTCTCACACACATGCCTTATTAAGTCGTGACCACAAGTTAACTTTCACAACTTAATCATGTTGTTTCCATGACTTAACTATCTCATTTACACGCCTTACTAAGTCGTGGCCATGACGTTTCACAGCTTAATTATCTTGTTCCCACAACTTAACTCTCTCATTCTCATGCCTTACTAAGTCATGGCCATAACATCACTACATAATTATCTTGTTCCCATGACTTAACTACCTCATTCTTACGCATTACTGAGTCATAGCCATAATGTATCACTACTGAATTATCTTGTTCCCACGACTTAACAACCTCATTCTCATGCCTTGCTAAGTCATGGCCATGACGTAACTATCACAAATGAATTATCTTGTTCCCATGACTTAACTTTCTCACTCACATGCCTTACTAAGTCATGGCCATAACTTAACTAATTATCTTGTTTCCACAACTTAACTACCTCATTCTCACACCTTACTATGTCATGGCCATGATGTAACTATCACAACTTCCTTATCTTGTTCCCACAACTTAACTACCTCATTCTCGTGCCTTACTAAGTTGTGGCCATGCATTAGGATCCTGTTCTCGTGCCTTAGTCAGTTCTGGCCACACATTATTTTCATTAAGAAGGGATCTCACCAGCAGGTCCCGTAAACACATGCGTTTCCACAGCAACCTGCAGCCACACCCCCCAAAGTTCAGTCTGAGAAGCTGGTTTAGCATTTTCTGCTCATGATGCAAAATCTGTGGATGTTTTCAGATCTGAAGCAGCTTGATTTTCTCCTCTCTCTCAGAGATGCAAGCTTTAAGTGCTGTTTATCTGATGGGGGCAGTTTTGGGGTCGACCAGCTCTTCCAGGTGGTTGTTAGGAGTCTCATTTTCTCTGAGACTCTCCACATATTTTCCCTTGACTTTTTCCTTCCTTATGCAAGTGGATTATCTCATATTTAATCTCCCCAGAAACATCTCTTGAAAACTGAACAACTGTAGAGACCTGTACAACATATAATGGCCTTTTTTGATGGGAAATTAAGTAAATGAAGGGTGATCTCTGACTTCTGCGCGAGCTTTTCAGCAGTGAACGGTTCTGTATCTGTTCATTCCGCACCGACGACATTAGCCACACCTGTCTTGTCCGTTGCGCTATGGGTTTTTCAAATCCCCTGGTTAGCAGCCCTGGCGCTGAGATAGCGTGGAAGGCTTTGGCACATAAAAGCTCTTCATTGAGCTGATGTGTGTAGTGCATTATGGGAAGACTCCGATTACACGCACTTCAGACTCATGCAGGGTGCCTTGTGTAGCAGTGAGAGGAGATTAAGTGCAGACACACTGAGCTCGGATGCACCTCGTCACACTGGGGCTGTCAGAGCAGCGCGCATTTAAGGCATTTATAGTGCGAGACGACCGTAAAGAATAAACACAATTCTCTCTTTCAACACCAACAGCACCTTGTTGTTAGCATTCACAAGCATTTTGCACCGCGCAATAACAATCATATGACATTCATATTGTTCACGGGAAAAAAGCAGCGTGACAAGAAGCTTCTTTCACCGCGCGGCTTATGAACTACGACTGCCGGAGTGAGCAAGCCAGTCGAAATTGTGCTTTATTGAACCGGAGCTTGTCAGCATTTTTTGGGGAGCCAGTAAAGTGTAATTGTGTCATCCTTTATAAAGCGGTGAGGGGCTGACAGCAGCCGCAGAAGCCTCATTACTCCGGGGGTCTTACTGCGTGGCGGCTCTGTGATGAATAACGTCTTTCTCGGGAGGAGCTAAAAGGTAAAACACAACACAATGGCGGCCGCGCTTTACTAGGCCCGCATGGATCATCTCAAACGGGATCAATTTCACTGAGGGATTAGGGCCTGGTTACTCTAACGGCTTCCAACAGACACTCATCAATACGCCTGTGGATGGATCGGCGTGTTGGGCAAGGAAGCAAATGTGCTACAAGCAGCACGAGGCGTGATGAACAACAGAGGAGCCTCAGTAACAACCAGGTAAAATAATAGGGAGGACATGAGCGCTCATAGTTTAAACAGCAATCACTATCTGTCTGCACCAATACTGAAGAAAGAACATTCACTCAGGATAGTTAATAGATAGATAGATAGATAGATAGATACGGTAGGGGTTTCCAATAAAGTGGCCAGTTAGTGAAAGTACAAGGTAGATGTTTCCAATAAAGTGGCCACTTAGTGGAAATACGAGGTAGGTTTTTCTAATAAAATGGCCACTTAGTGCAAATACAAGGAAGATGTTTCTAATAAAGTGGCCAGTTAGTGGAAGTACAAGGTGGGTGTTTCTAATAAAGTGGCCAGTGAGTGGAAGTAAAAGGTGGGTGTTTCCAATAATAACTCAATTCGTAGAAGATACTGAATAATTTGTAGTAGGTATTGAATCATTTGTAATAGATACTGAATCATTTGTAGCAGATACTGAATAATTAATAGAAGATACTGAATCATTTGCAGTAGATACAAAATAATTCATAGTAGATATTAATTAATTTGTAATGGATACTGAATAATTTGTAGTAAATACAAAATAATTCATAGATATTAAATAATTTGTAATAGATACTGAATCATTTGTAGTAAATACTGAATCATTTACAGTAGATACTGAATCAATCGTAGTAGATGCTGAATAGTAGATACTAAATAATTTGTAGTAGATACAGAATAATTCATAGTAGATATTGAACAATTTGTAGTAGATCCTGATCATTTGTAGTACATACTGAATCATTTGTAGTGGGTACTGAATAATTTGTGGTACATACTGAATTATTCATAGTAGATACTAAATACTTTGCAGTAGCTAATTAACAATTTGTAATAGAGAAGAAGAAGAATTGTATTAAATTATTGCAGTAGAAGAATATTTTATACATTATTCTGAATAATTAATAGTACACACTGTATAACACAGTAGCAGCTCGAGAGGTTAAAGTCAGTTCCAATCTGCTCCATGTTTATGGAAAAACATCTTTATTGACTCTCATCTCTCTCAGAAGCTGAAACAGGTCTGATGCCGGCGGCTGTGCGGAGGCTAAATGAAAAGGGTGACCGGTGGGGAGCTTTATTACACATTATTAAAGCAGAGATTCCACTCCGGAGACCCTTCCCTTTAAATAGTGCATTAAGTTTGAAACTTAATTTCTTAGACACAATTGAGCTTCACGAGGGAGAATAGATCCTAAGATTCCGGGAGTGGCTTTTAATATAGCCCCACTTAAAACACAGCCTGATTAATACAATGGAGGAACATCTCCGTCGGCTCTTTGGAGGGGCGAGGGCCGGCTGGGATAATGGTATATGAAGACTCTTCTTTCTGAAAGCGATACAGGCCCCGCGTGAATAGAGTCAGGTTTTTGATGAACGGCTTCTCTTTTGGCGCGAGAATACGATTAAGTGAATATTGAGAAATATAATAACATCTGTACGGTTGCAGCTGTCGTGATGAAATAGAGCGGCGATGAATATCTGTATCCGAACGGCTCTGACAGCGAGGATAATGCGATTCCTGAATCCTGAAATCTGAACCACCTTTTTTTAGTATCCAGGAGTAATGGAGCAGAGTTAAAGAGGCCTATGGTGCCTCACTATTGAGGAAATGAACAGCTGACACTGGGTCTTAATTAAGCAAACACATACCGGTTTGCCTTAAGAGTTTGGCCCAAAGCTGTCGTTAATTAACTTCACCAGCCCTTCGTCTCATGCATCTCCACTTTACCCCCACCCCCCCCAAAAAGGCTCTCCGTCAACTCAGTCACAGGAAACAAAAACACTAAAGAATTTATAAAAGGACGTCGAATTGGCATCAATCAAGAGACGAATTGGGTCAATTAATAAGATTTCTGTAGCGATTCCTTTTAAACCGGCAGATTAAACGTGTTCCATGTAGAGTTTAATAAGAACAGCCAGCCGTGAAATATCATTAACAAATCGTAAATCACTGCTATCTATAGTAATCTCCCCATTCATCCGCACTCTCCTAGAAATTAATGTCTCTCGATGATCTCTGCGCAGATTAATGAGCTAGTCGAAGGTAATCTTGATTACGGCCGCCGTCGACCCACTTAATTCCATCTCCTCTCAGCTCGCGGTGCACGGAGGATTGATTTCGGGACGCTCGCAGAATTTCCAGGCCTTTTATTCCCTTTTACAGGTTCCACAGAAACCGCAGACCAGCAGCGAATCCCGGCCCGCTTTAATTGACGTCCCACGACAGACAGAAGAGGAAAAGAGGCAGGAGGCATCGATCAAAGGCCAGGAGCCGTACATCGGGGCATTTATACAGCCTCAGCCCCTAAATAGTGCTAATCCACCCCTGAATGAAATACGCCAAGCACATCTCGTAGCCGCGGCCATATTTCAAGGTCACGTCTCGGCTTTTGGCCATTAAACACTCCGCGATGCGTCGAGAGGGGCAGTTCATGTCCTGCACAAGACGCTCAGACATGATGGGTGATATAAGGAGTGATGGAGAAGGAGGGAGAGAGAAGAATGGGCCGTAATAGGAGGAGCATCTGTTAGGCGATGTTGAAAAACCAGCGGGGAACCGTGGCTATTAGAGCTAGGCCTTCAGGTCAGGCCACAAATGTCAAAGCTCGGTCAAAAAAACAAGGAAAAAACAGCTCTACAATAATGCTAACCTCTGCTAGCGCCTGTGTGGGGTTCTAGTAGTATCACACTTTGTAGCATCACACTATTCAGCGGTTCTAGATTGAATACAGACATCTGAAGCTTCTAAAGGACATTTCATATGTTTCATTTGAAGCTTAGAACAGTTGTGTTTATTTGAACTTGTATGTTTCAACTTTACAGTTACAGTAGTTATGTTAGGTGTGTTACAGGTGTGGTTATGTTAGGTATGTTACAGGTGTGGTTATGTTAGGTAAGGTGTGTTACAGGTGTGGTTATGTTAGGTAAGGTATGTTACAGGTGTGGTTATGTTAGGTAAGGTATGTTACCGGTGTGGTTATGTTAGGTAAGGTGTGTTACAGGTGTGGATATGTTAGGTGTGGTACAGGTGTGGTTATGTTAGGTAAGGTATGTTACAGGTGTGGTTATGTTAGGTAAGGTGTGTTACAGGTGTGGATATGTTAGGTGTGTTACAGGTGTGATTATGTTAGGTTAGGTATGTTAGAGGTGTGGTTGTGTGTGGTTAGGTTTGTTATAGATGTGGTTATGTTAGGTTAGGTGTGTTACAGGTGTGGTTATGTTAGGTTAGATGAGTTACAGGTGTGGTTAGGTTAGATGAGTTACAGGTGTAGGTTAAGTATGTTACAGGTGTGGTTATGTTAGGTCAGGTGTGTTACAGGTGTGGTTATGTTAGGTCAGGTGTGTTACAGGTGTGGTTATGTTAGGTCAGGTGTGTTACAGGTGTGGTTATGTTAGGTCAGGTGTGTTACAGGTGTGGTTATGTCAGGTCAGGTGTGTTACAGGTGTGGTTATGTTAGGTCAGGTGTGTTACAGGTGTGGTTATGTTAGGGCCTCTAAGCAGATGATTTTTTTTTAAGATCATGAAACCGTATGTTACAGTGACCTCACTACCATCCAAAACAACCAAAACAAGTGTGTTTAAAATGTTGATAATTCTTATGTTTTGTAGAGCTGAAACAGTCTGGGGTCAAACTGATGCCAGACACTGAAAACATATTATCATGTTAATTTAATGTTTACCCAGTTGTCCCCATTAAATTAGGAACAGTCACTGAATATGAAGCAAAAAAAAAATAAATAAAAAAAAAAGATGTCAATCATTTATTTAGAGACGTTAAACATTGAGTGGGGTCAAACTGACCCCCAAGATAATAGGTTACTGTTACTGTAAATCAATATTAATACACTTCATTTCAGAGGAAACGCTACTGTCTACAGAATAAGCCTCCAGAATAATGAGTTAAGTTTATGTGTTAGGTTTTTAAGCCGTACCTGTAAAGTCTCTAGAATGTTCTTCCGTTCATCATGGCTCATTGAGCACGTCAGTTCTTATTCAGAGTCATTATAAACTCAGTACCAATGTTAAAATGCCAAACTCCACAGGACTTTCTCTAAATGCTGTTGAATTATAGCTGTTTTATTACAGTTTCCATTATCACACAATGCAAAACTCATCAGCACGGCTGACACAGAGTTTTCAATTACAAACACTTTCCTTAAATTAATTATCACACTTTTCCTTTGTGAGCTGAGAGAGAAAAGAAAAACTTTTTTCCAGATCCGCCCATCCTTCACTACATCTGGCTGTTTTCTCCAGCTTCCTGAGGGCCTCACACCTGCCCACACATACACTACACTTACACAGTGCTTCGACTAAATTCAGCCTGCTTTTAAGGGAAATTCCACCAATTTTTCTCCAATTTTCTGCATAACTCATTGTTTGAGAGAGATTCAGAGTGGTTCGGTGTGAAATGGTTCAGATGTCTTTACAGTGGTGGTGATAGGAACCAGGGGTCACCATGACTACAATACAGACCATCTAAAAAAAGAGTTGAAGTCACCAGGCACAGTATACATAACTATTACATTGTCGCTGATATAACAGAATATAATAGAAGTTAATGTAATAATTTTTTTTTCTAAAAAAATTTTTGGACCATTTCTATTGGTTCATTAGGCATACAATTTCAATAAAAGGCAAAGGGTTACTGGACTTTTCATATCATGCAAAGAAAAAGAAAGAAAAGCAATAACAATCAAAAATTTTTGCATGACAACAACAATACGTGATACCTTGCTGTGGGGGAGCTTTTAGAGGTGGACGTCTGGTTCCTATCACCACCACTGTGAACAGTTCTGACTGTTAGTTTCTCTAGAACAGAGCGTTTCACACCAAACCACTCTGAACCACTCTGAACCACTCTGAATGACTCTGTTTACATCTTAACCACTAATGAAGTATGCAGAAATATGTTTAAAAATGGTGGAGGTCCTCTTTAACTGAGAAAAATGGAGATTACTACAGTTTAGTATGTACAATATTCAGGTAATTAGCTGAGGCAAGTTGTGAAAATGACAAAACACTGCTAACCTGTGCTTCCCTGAGCCCATTACTGCAGCTCAGCCCAATTTAGGACTGGATCCTGGCAGCAAAGTCTCTGTTTGCCTCATTGTCTCATTCATTTTTCATTACGCATGTATACACGCTCAAAGCAGACCAGTGACAGCTGCTGCTCTTATTGGAAATGACTGTCTAATTAGCAGCATAATTCCTCCTAATCTGCAACTGTTTTTCAGTAGCAATGGGAAACAAATCAGCCACTGCCACGTTCAGCGTGATGTACATGATAGGCTGTAATTGAATCAGGACTGAAAGAGGATCCTTCTCCTCGTTCTGACAGACTGTAGGACATTTGCATTCAGTGCAGATTAGGCAGTTCTAGGAAAATAAGAATACTCAGTAGATCCCCAGTGTGTAATTTATCCAATACGAGTTTCATCTGCACCTACTGAGAGTCACTTTGTGCCCCGACTGAGGATTTTATTAAACTACAGCACCATCTGCTGGCTGTTATTATTATTTCAGCTTAAAACCACAGTCCACCTTGCGCTTCCACTAACTGGCCACTTTATTAGAAACACCGAACTTGTGTTTCCACTAACTGGCCACTAAATTAGAAACATCCACCTTGTGCTTCCACACACTGGCCACTTTATCAGAAACACCTACCTTGTGCTTCCACTAACTGGCCACTAACTTAGAAACAACCTCCTTGCGCTTCACTCACTAACCACTTTATTAGAAACACCTTTCATTCCTTTCATGTCCTTTCATTCACTGGCCACGTTACTATAAACACTGACCTTGTGCTTCCACTTAGTGGCCACTTTATTAGAAACACCTACATTGTGCTTCCACTCACTGGCCACTTTATTAGATTCACCTACCTTGTGCCTCCACTAACTGGCCACTTTACTAGAAACACCTTCTTTGTACTTCCCGTCACTGGCCACTTTATTAGAAACACCAACTTTGTCCTTTCATTCACTGGCCACTTTATTAGAAACACCTACATCGTGCTTCCACTCAATGGCCACTTTATTAGAAACACCTACCTTGTACTTCCCGCCACTGGCCACTTTATTAGAAACACCAACCTTTCGCTTTCACTAACTGGCCACTTTATTAGAAACATCCTCCTTGTCCTTCTACTCACTGGCCACTTTATTAGAAACACCTACTTTGCCCTTCCACTGGCCACTTTATTAGAAACACCTACCTTGTCCCTCCACTCACTGGCCACTTTATTAGAAACACCTAATCGCTTCACTGTTCAGGTGTACTAAACTGAAACTGGACACTGATAAAGGACTAGAGAACGACTAACTCAAACTGCATCAACAGATGAGCGATGGGCTGTAACTGTACACCAGCAACGTGGAGATATAAGAGAGGTGTTTCTGATAAAGTGGCCGGCATGGGTGGAGTCTGTACTTCGACCGTAATACGGACAGGGAAACTGTTGTGTGTCTGTGTCAGACGGCACAACTGCTCCTGAAAGTCTTTGTTTAACTGACTGTAGAAGCTGCCGGTAAAAGCTGCAGTCTGTCTCTGAGTGTCTGATGTGAAAGTGCTCTTGCACCTGGTTTCATCATTTTGTGTTGGTTGTGTTCAAAAAGGCTTCTTTAAACATCTATTCATAAACAAAGTGGCACTGATAACTGTAATGGCAGCTGCGGGTAAAAGCGAGTTAATGATGAAATTAAAGGAAATGAGTGAATGTAATATAATAAAGTAAAGGTAATTACCTTCACAGAGAAAAATGAGCAAAATGCAGTTTTGTAGTCAGTAATAGTTCATTATTTGAGAAGTGGGAAAATCAGCATTTACTGATATATAAACTGCAATATTTTATACTTAATTTAAAAGGTGAGAATGTGATAGCAATGCTGCAGAGCCCTGCAGGTGACATCTCATATAAATAAAAATAATGCATGGCCACGACTCAAGGCCATGAGTAAGGTGTGGGAACGAGATACTTAAGTCATGGCCATGACTTAGTAAGATGAGGGAACAAGATCCTAATGAGTGGCCATGCCTTACTAAGTCGTGGCCACTACTTAGTTATCTCATTCCCACGAGTTAATATGGTGTGGCCACACATTATTTTATTTATACAGGATGTCACCAGCAGGGCTCTGTACAATACTGTTTGTACTGACTTAAAATGTTTGGTTTTATTTTTTATAATTCCGAGTTCTTTTATATATAACTTCTCTTATAGTTTGCATTTGTGTTGTACTGTTTAATTCTTTGAAAGCTTAGATCTGAGAAAGACACAACATAAACATTATTATTATTATTATTATTAGTATTAGTAGTGATAGTAGTAGTAGTATTAGTAGTGATAATAGTAGTAGTATTAGTAGTGATAGTAGTAGTAGTATTAGTAGTGATAGTAGTAGTCTGGCTGTGCCCTGTTCACTATGTAGTGCACTAGTCTGCCATTTTGCAGTGGTGTCCAAAAACAAAGTGCAGAAGATCCAGTGTGCTCAAACAATCCCTCAATGCACTGCAGTAAGTACTGTACAACCAATGCCGTGCACTTAGTTACAGTACACTGTCAACTACGCACTCTTTATCCACTAGGGGGTGCTAGCTCGCCTCCAGGTAGTCTGGGGAGGCATAAAAGCCTAGAGACTCTGCTAGGCTGTTGTTTGGGGGGGGATTTTGTCCCAGGTTCCCACTTTTAAACTTCTGAACAGAACCGACAGGTTTGTGTGCTCCACCCTGGAGGAGCTGCGCTTGTCTGGCCTGGAGTGGTGGAGGTGAGCTGGTTTTCCCCCAGTAACACTCCTTCACCTTAGCTTTGTACACACGGATAAACACATTACATGCATGCTCTTAGGTTAGGGGTCTCGACTGAATATACAGCTAAGTTTAAGAACCCTAAACTAGAACAATAATTAGTCGTTAAACAGATGAGAGTCAGCTCTTCTCAGGTGTGCGGTGGTTATAGTGGACTGGTGACCGGACGCTAGTGTTTATGTGGTGGAATCTGCTGTCGGACAGTAATGAGCAGACCTGTATGATGTAGTGTCCCAACATTAGGGATTAGGGGACCATTTTCACTGCAAAAACTGGTCTCGTCAAGTAAAATGATCTTAAATATAGTAAATCTAATTTTTCTCATGTTGAGATTGTGGTGAGCTTAATTGAAGATTGTTTACCTTATTTCTTTATTTGTTTTTAGTGATTTTATTAAGTAAAATTATCTCACTATATTGGCAGATAATTTTGCTTGTTGTAAGAAATGAGCTTGAAACCAGCAACATTATCTGCCAGTACCGTGAGATAATTCTACTTAATAAAAGTACTTAAAACAAGTGAAAAATGTCTAGAAATGAGCTAGATAATCTCATTATAACTGCACAACCAACTTAAAATGGGAAATGTTAGATATACTGACTAGACTTAACATCATTTAACTTGACAAGATGCCTTTTTTTTGCAGTGTTGGATGCAGCATCTGTTTCTTGTAGTTACCAATAACATTGAGCCCTAATATGGATTTTAAAAAAGTGAATTCAAATAAAACGTGTATAGAAATGATGAATTATAGCTGGTTGGAACTGTTTATTTGTTCATCTGCATGATTCTATATACGTTATTTCATACACAGCAACTTGCCCGTGTGAAATTAATTCTGTTAGTGTTAAATGTAGCACCTTCTCAGTTTGTATACAGATCTAAGTTACACTGAGCACTAATAATGAGCACCGTTCACAACACTGGTATTGATTTTACACTTACTTTACTTAACTTAACTTTACAGACCCCTACAGACTTTCGTAGTCAGCACATCGTCCAAAAAAGGACCTTCAGGTCTCGGCCGTTTGTCTCTACGGGAAAAATGAATAGCGCTCTCAAAAATCACGTTCTGTAATCAACAAAAATGTTGCTATACTGATTCATTTTGTTCATTTTACTCCAAATAATCACTGGATCCTCTGAATTATGAGCTCATTAAGGAGTCGAGATATGAATATTTGCGTACGCAAGCTACCACTGCTGTGCACTACTGGTCTGAATGGTTCTGAACAGAAACTGAAACTTGAACTGTGCATCTGTTACATTCTGGTGTCAACACATTTCCAAAGTCCTTACACGGAAAGTCTGTCCACTCTATGGCCATCTAGGCAACACCGCCACAAAGCATGATTTCTCAAATTAGCCAGATAACTTAGGCCTAAAGTCAAGCCTGTCCAATAGGAGTAGAGCTGAGGGACATTCCTATTGGACAGTCCTCATCTTTGGGCTTAAGTTATCTGACTGAGAAATCCTGCTTTGTGAAACTCCCCCAGAATTCCCATCTCTTTGAATAGGGAGATCTATAAAACTGACATTAAAGGCCAAATTACCATTTCAAAAACATATTTAAAATCAGTGGAAAACTCTGAAATAAACTGTTTGCAGTTTTTGGCTCAAATATACAAATTATGTGTATTTTGGGTTGTTCTGGCTGCTTCACTTGCCCAGATCTCCACAACTGAGAGGGGGCTTTCGCACTCGAAGCATAACCAGTAAGCTGATTGACTCTTTTTATTGAAGGGTCTCCATAAACAAATGAGCGTTATGAGCTTTTATTTTCCAAGCAGTGACCTGATTCCTCCTTTATAATATCTCTGGCATTTCCTAAATGCACCAGGATGCAACTGCTGCACTGTTTAAGGTGGAACAGACAATTCAAATTAGAAGGGAAAATGTAAACATGTCAAGTTAAATCACATAATATGACCAACAGACAACAAGATAACTGTCTGGCATTATTCCCAGCCTGCACAGCACTGACTTCATTCTAGGAAACCTTAGCAAATAATCTCAGCTAACCTTGTTGGCTAAATTGTCATGAGACTGAGAGAAAGTACAGGTCTTTTCACATTTGCTTTCTTCTATGTTGTAACCTATGTTGTCTTTTTGTTGTGTCAGCTGTATTGTCTTACAGTTGTGTGCCTATTGGTGTTTTATCTGTATTGTTCCCCCTGAGGTGAGAACAACCTCACCTTACCCCTGGGGTCTCCCCTGACCCCAGACCCCCTTCCAATTCTTCCCTAACCTTTTGATTGTCACCTACTTCCCCTCCCTCTTGCTTCCTCCCCCGACCCCCAGTATCTCTACTTAAACTATGTCAGACCATGTATTCAGCAGACTGGACTAGACTAGACTGGTGACCAGACCGGACTGTTGACACACTGATGACCAAGCTGTGCCCGTGCATGATTGTCTGCATGCACAGGAATAAGACTAGACTCCTGATCCTGCTGATTGACTGTTGATTGACCACGCTGTACCCAGACTCTGTATGTGGAAATAAACTCCAGTCAACGCCGAAGCTCCAGTCTCCTGACTCTTGGTGCCGAATTTCCAACAAGACCCTTAACTTGCCTTCGTGGTCAAGCAAAGTAAAGCTTGCAGCGCTCATCGAGCTTGCTCATCTCTGAAAATAAAAACTGCTCTACCAAACAACGATCTTTCATGTAAACATTAGATGAATTCCTTAATAAAGACGTCCTCAACATCAGGGACGATAAAAGGACTTTCTCTACGTTCTCATTTGTAACTCTTTGGCTGCTGTAATGTTTTATATGACTTCTGCTGCATCGAGTATGTCAGGACGAAAAGGGTCCCTTCCAATCGCTGTTAGATGAGCTCCAGCCATGGTGTGAAATTCCAAGCACACCACCCTTCAGTTCACATGTGGAGCAGAAGTTGCTGTGAAGAGCTGGTGAGGCACAATTCAGTGCACTGACAGCGGGTAGCTGTTCTACTGACAGCTGTTCTACCTGCTGCTCTCTGGATGAAAGGAAAACTTAAAAAACAGAGTGATTCATGTCACAATGTTTATATTTAATTTGCTGTTTTCATTCTTTATACTCACTAATTAGTACAACTGCTCTACCTCTTGGTGTCCACATTTATTATTTAAATACTTTTTTCTTTGTTTTGCAACAATTTCGTAAAGGAGGAACTTTTAAAAGTAAATAATTCCTTTCTCTTTTTGAAAAGACTTCTGGTTTATATTTGGATATCTTGCCTTTAATGTATGCATAATGTTATGTGAGGTTCAAAGTTGGTTATATTTTTCAGGCTAAATCGTGACCCAAAAACTGAGGGCTGAACTGAATCATCAAAGGGGTCACCATTACACCACTGAACTGACATCACAAGAACGACCCCACTAAAATCTGCTGAACACGGCTTTATAAGGACCTTCGGACACCCTGGTTATTACTTAAACTAATTACTGAGCCGATTCATCGAGGACATCAATTGTGAGCTATTATAAATGTTTCAATCTATATAAACATTAGTGGATTTAGTGGGACATTGCCCCAAATAAATGACCCACTGAAGCCTGGCCTGGTCTGATGTATGAAAAACATCTAAATAAAGTAAAAATGGAACTCTTTGGCAACAACTGACACAGATATGTTTGGAAAAATAGAGCATTTGATGATAGGTACACCGTGCCGACTGTTAAACATAAAGGTGGGTCTATTACGCCTTGGGGTTGTGTGGCAGCCAGTGGCTCAGGAAACACTGAATAGACAGATAAATTTGACTGATATTAATTACTAAGCCGGTTCATCAAGAACATCAATTGTAATCTATTCTAAATGTTTCAATCGAGTAACTGATAAGTTGTTGATTTTACTCAGGTAATCTATTCATCAAAATAACCATTAGATCACCTGAGAACTCGTATAACCAATAATGACAGCCCTGGTTGACTTTACCTTCACCATGAGGTTTAACTGACTCCCTGCAAAACATACTCCACTAAAACACTGGGCTCTTTTTCATTAACACTCAATCAACACTACACAACCTTTTAATACTGTAAAATTTCCTGTGTAATTTTGACACCTTCACTCTAAAGTGCCTCACAGTAGTTTAAGCGTGTACGAGCAGAGCGCTCAGGCTGCAGTCGAAGAGCACTCGTCCGTCTCTGGTGGTGCTGCACTCGTTCTTCAGCAGCTCCAGCATGCCGGAGCGGACCTCGGCCGAGAACGATGAGCGGAAGTTCTCTCTATCCGTCATGAAGTCCAGCAGCATCTCTCCGTCCCTGCTGCCCTCTGTGAAGCACTGGGTGATGTCCAGCGTGTTCCTGGCCACCAGCTCCTCATAGCACAGCCCCAGGGTGTCCAGCTGGACCTTAATGTCCCCGGCGGAGAGGTAGTCTGAGAGCGTGTTGGTGCAGAGCTCCTTCCTAAAGGTTTTCCACAGGATCTCCCAGCCGCTGTTCGCTGTACGTGTGGACAAGGGTCAAGAATGTAAACTGCTAAATAATATTAAAAACGTTTAAGGAGGAAATGTTGCTGGAACGTCGCTGCAAATTCACTGTTACTTTATATTTGATAAATAGCTGATAAAGTTATTATGGCATATGCAAAAGTTCGGACAACCTTCCAGTTGTAAAGTTTCAAACTTAAATAAATCGATAGGCCTTAATTGACTTGAATAATTAGGCAGGTCAAGGACTGTCATAAAGAATTGTTAGCTGACTCTTCAAACCTTGTGCTAACACTTAACCACTATGGGCTCCTCTAAGCAGCTGGATCTGAAAATCTTATCTACAAGCTAATTGATGCCTACAAAGCAGGAGAAGGCTATAAAAAGATGTGAAAGAGCTTCCAGCTCACAATTTCCACTGTCCGAAATGTCATTAAGAAATGGCAGTTAAGGGGAACTGTGGAAGTCAAGGCAAGATTTGGAACTCCCACATACAGATGTTCATATGCTGGCCAGAAAGGCAAAGCAAAACCCCCATATGACAGTAAAAGGACCTGCTGACACAGGAGTGGTGGTGCACTGTTCTGCTGTGTAGCATTAGTGAACAAACAAGATCTCCATGGAAACATCATCAAAAGGAAACCTTATCTGTGACCTCATCACAAAAGTCCACATGAAGCCTTTTGGAAACAAATGCTATGGACTGGTGAAGTAAAAATGGAGCTCTTAAACGGAGCATGAAAAGAAAACCTTGCCGACTGCTAAGCAAGGGGATGGATCTATTATGCTTTATGGCTGTGTGGCAGCCAGTGGCTCAGGAAACAGTGCATAGGTAATGTAGGGAAGTTGATACAACAAAGGTCTACTCATCTAGGAAATTTGCAGCTTTCTCATACAGCACAGCCCTAAAATGCAGCCAATAGGAAATGATACATGTAAACCCTCCTGTGTTAACCGATAGCTTCTTATATTGGACATACAGCAAGGAGCAGCACAAACTTTAGTATCACTTTGTTTTGCTGCCTGCCACCACAGAATGCTATATAAACAGTAGTGGGTTTATTGGGACATTGTCCCAAATAAATGACCCCCTAAAGCCTGGCCTGGTCTGAAGTATGTAAAACAAAATCTTGATAGAGAAGATTTCAGAGGAATTTGATGCAGTAAAAATTGATCTTTTTGGCAACAATTGCTAAAGATATGCTAGGAAAAAAAGTACAGCATTTGATGAAAGGAACACTGTGCCAACCGTTAATCATAGGGGTGGATCTGTTATGCTTTGAGGTTGTGTGGCAGCCAGTGGCAAAGGAAACGTGACAATTAAGTGTAGGTCAAGAAATGTAAGCTAATTACGAGAAACTAACAAAACCACAAGAAAGGCTGCAGAGCCCCATCCCAGTATTACGATTTGAGCTACGTATGTAAACATTTGGGCACCCCTGTCATTCAACTCTCAGACAGAACTGCTCGCATGCTGGCCAGACGAATGGGTTCCACTAAATATCAGCAAATTCTGGAAGCACAGTCAAGAAACCGAAGCTGAAAAGAGGCTGTTTACTTCCTTTCACTTAAAAAATGAACAAATGTAATTTGGCAAGGGGTGCCCAAACTTTTGCATACAACTTTAAAGTTATTATTATGTTCTGATGTTGATGATCATGATGGTACTGATCACTGTATTCTCTGTCCAAACCCACTGAGCCTCACCTGCTTCATGAATGATGAGCAGTTTGCCGTTCTCCCTCAGGAGGCTGTGGAAGAACTTCAGTGTTGCAGCAGGATCGTCCACGTAGTACAGCATCTGCGGTCAGAAGGTCAGAGATTATGAGACCTGTATGGTAGAGCTGATGGTGATGATGGTGACGAGGAACATTCAAACACATTATTACAGAAAATTAGTACTGGAACCTGAATCATGTGGATGAGGTCAAACTTGACGTCCTCTTTAGCTTTGACTTGTTTCTCATATTCCGCACAAGAGACGATGTTCCAGTTGAACGAAACGTCCTGGAGCCTGGAGGTTCTGGCCACCAGAGCTACAGAGAGAGACCAGAGAAGCAAATTCACGAAGCTGTTCCTCAGACAGGACTGAAGAGATCAGTGTTAACTAATAAACTACTGAGTTATCATCAACAGCTTGATATCTGAGGACAAAGCTGAAGATCCAGGATTGAGAACCACTGAGTTAATGTATAAAATATTGTTGCTCTCGCAATAAAACCTTGTCTCTCCATCATTATCACTTTTTTGTTTGCTTTTGTTTTGTTTATTTTTGAATTAGAACTAAACAGTTGCCCTTTACAACTTATTAAAATTTGATGATTAACAGACCAATAAAACATAAACATTTCCAAAGTTAAGAATATTTGTTTCTTTAAAGTTATCATTTTTGATACAAGGTTTTGTCCCAACAGTCAAAATACATACATATACACAGTTAAAAAAGATGGTTCTTCAAGGGTTCTTTAGTAAAGGCAATGGTTCTACAGGGAGATTCACTCGAAAGAGGCCCCAAATATTCCGCTGTAATTCCTGTTAGGATGAAGCAATCTGAGCCAAAAAAATGCTCTCCATACCTCGACGTATGTGTAATCGATTGCATTACATGTGGTGCTGGAAGCGATCTCGGTTTTCTGCCAGACACATGAAGGGGTACGGGGGTCTGCACCCAGAAGTTGCAAACGGAGGTTAAACATTGGGACAGCTGTCCGGCGCCTACCTCATCGCTCCGACGCAGGAGCATCCCGGCTTGTTTGAAGCTCCATATACTGAGGAGCTCATTGCACATTGTTTGGTTCAGATCGCTTCGTCCTAGAGAGAGTTATTACAGAATCTTCGGGGCCTCTTTCGAGTGAATCTCCCTGTATTTGGAACCATGGATTCTATATACACAAAGGTTATTTGCATGGTGAAATGATGGGGAAGAAGAATTTAAAATATAAGAATACACAATGGTTCTTATGGGTTCTTTAGTAAAAAAAAAAAAAAGAACAATCAAAACCCCTTTGTGTGACTAAAGGGTTCTTTTCATCGTGAAAGCGTTCTTCAGATTGATGGAGAACGTGCTGTAGATGGTTCTATATAGAACCTGAAAACTATCTATAGAATAATGTTCTATATTGAAAACGGTTCTACACAGCACCAAAAAGCGTTCTTATATCATTATGATGTCAAGTTTGTTACAACAGAAGAACCATTTTTTTGTGCTATATAGAACCCTTTTTCAAAAAGGTTCAATGTAGAACCATCTATAGCACATTCTCTTAATGGTTCTTTGATATGATTGGTTTGATTTTATAGAATGTTTAATTAAGAAGTTATTTAATAAATTAATTTAATTCATTTAATTTATATTTAATGTGAGCTCAGTTAGTGAACTACAGCTAGAGGAGGGGAACCTTTGAAGTTCTGAGTGAGGTCAGTGCTGGGCTCCACAATGTCCACGCTGATCGGGACAGATGGAAGAGCGCACTGCAGGATCGATATCAGATACACATCCATCTCCCCTTAAACACAGAGAAATAAAATTTTTGAAATTAAAAAATCTTCCGTAATAATATTATAATGAAGAAATCTAAAACCAATATACAGAAAAACAGCTGATTAGAAGGAAGCAGCCAGTAGATGGAGACATTTTCTAAGAAATGGTATAAAAAAACCTCATATATATATATATATATATATATATATATATATATATATATATATATATGCCTCATATTTCAAAGGTGACAATCACTTCTGCAGATAAATAACTTAATAACTTGAATCATGTATGTTCACACACCTCCACCACTTCCAACCCCGAGCACCCTGAAGTCAGACTTTCCCTCGGCCATCCTGCAGGAAAAGGAGAGTAAATTAATATAAAATATTTATTTATTTATTTAATGTTAATGAAATTTACAAAAATGACAAATAAGTATTCAACAACTATCAAAATAAGGCAAAAAAAAAACAAACATATAAAATGCTGCAGCAGACTGTCTTACTTGGTCAGTTCTTGAGGTAGAACCGAATCCATTAGCTTCTGAATAACCTTGTGTTCTCCAGAACGTTCCAGATAGTTCTGAAAGCGCTGCACATAACCACCCTGATATCCCGCCATGACCAACACTGGACACTCAGAAACTGAAAAATACTGAACTAAACAAACAACAACTACATCAACACATTGACTTCCCACAGTACTTCATATCCTCCTACTGTACTTCATATCCTCCTACTGTACTTCGTATCCCTCCTACTGTACTTCATATCCTCCTACTGTACTTCATATCCTTCATACTGTAACTTCATATCCTTCCTACTGTACTTCATATCCCTCCTACTGTACTTCATATCCTTCATACTGTAACTTCATATCCTTCCTACTGTAACTTCATATCCTCCTACTGTACTTCATATCCTTCATACTGTAACTTCATATCCTTCCTACTGTACTTCATATCCTTCATACTGTAACTTCATATCCTTCCTACTGTAACTTCATATCCTCCTACTGTACTTCATATCCTTCATACTGTAACTTCATATCCTCCTACTGTAACTTCATATCCTTCCTACTGTAACTTCATATCCTCCTACTGTACTTCATATCCTTCATACTGTAACTTCATATCCTCCTACTGTAACTTCATATCCTCCTACTGTAACTTCATATCCTTCATACTGTAACTTCATATCCTCCTACTGTAACTTCATATCCTTCCTACTGTACTTCATATCCTCCTACTGTAACTTCATATCCTCCTACTGTACTTCATATCCTTCATACTGTACTTCATATCCTCCTACTGTAACTTCATATCCTCCTACTGTAACTTCATATCCCTCCTACTGTACTTCATATCCTCCTACTGTAACTTCATATCCCTCCTACTGTACTTCATATCCTTCATACTGTACTTCATATCCTCCTACTGTAACTTCATATCCTTCCTACTGTAACTTCATATCCTTCAGACTGAACCTTCATATCCTCCTACTGTAACTTCATATCCTCCTACTGTACTTCATATCCTTCATACTGTAACTTCATATCCTCCTACTGTAACTTCATATCCTCCTACTGTAACTTCATATCCTTCCTACTGTACTTCATATCCTTCATACTGTACTTCATATCCTCCTACTGTAACTTCATATCCTCCTACTGTACTTCATATCCTTCATACTGTACTTCATATCCTCCTACTGTAACTTCATATCCCTTATACTGTAACTTCATATCCCTCCTACTGTACTTCATATCCTTCCTACTGTACTTCATATCCTCCTACTGTAACTTCATATCCCTCCTACTGTACTTCATATCCTTCCTACTGTACTTCATATCCCTCCTACTGTACTTCATATCCTTCCTACTGTACTTCATATCCTCCTACTGTACTTCATATCCTTCATACTGTACTTCATATCCTCCTACTGTAACTTCATATCCTTCCTACTGTAACTTCATATCCTTCCTACTGTACTTCATATCCTTCAGACTGTACTTCATATCCTCCTACTGTAACTTCATATCCTCCTACTGTACTTCATATCCTTCCTACTGTACTTCATATCCTTCAGACTGTAACTTCATATCCTCCTACTGTACTTCATATCCTTCAGACTGAACCTTCATATCCTCCTACTGTACTTCATATCTTTCATATTCTTTAAACAGTAACTTCATACTAACTTCATATTCTTTCTACTGCAACAAAATATTCATCATTCTGAATCTTCATACTGTAACTTCATATAGTTTCTACTGTAACTTCATCTTTTTCATACTGTACCTTCATATTGTTTCTACTGCAACATATTTGTCATTCAGAATTTTCATGCTGTAACCTAATATTGTTTCTACTGTAACTTCATATCCTTCATACTGTAAACTTCTTTATACTGTAATGTCATGTTCTTCACACTGTGAATTTCCTATTACACTCTAATTACACTATATGAACAAAAGTATTGGGACACACCTCTTAATCACTGACTTCAGGTGATTTCTTCAGTCTCATTGCTACAGGTGTATAAAATCGAGCACCCAGCCATGCAGCCTGGCTTTACACACATTAGTGAAAGAGTGGGTCTAAAGAGCTCAGTGAACTCGAGCGTGGTGCTGTAATAGGGTCCCACCGCTGGAACAAGTCAGTTCACGGAATTTCTTCGCTCCTAGATGTTCCACAATCAACTGTTAAATCAAGCGTTTAAGAACCACAGCAACTCAGCCACGAACTGCATAGAGTCTCCAACACTCTGCTGACTTAATAACTGCAGAGGTCAGACCTCCTCTGGCATCAACATCAGCACAAAAACTGTGCCGGGAGTTCATGGCAGGGTTTCCATGGCCGAGCAGCTGCATGAAGTAAAGCTGGAGTGGAGTAAAGCGCCGCCACTGGACTCTGGAGCAGTGGAAATGCATTCTGTGGAGTGACCAATCATGCTTCTCTAATACCAGGAGAACGTTACCTGCCTGACTGCACTGTGCCAGCTGTAAAGTTTGGTGAAGGAGGGATGATGATATGGGGCTGTTTTTCAGGGGTTGGTCTAGAACCCTTAGTTCCAGTGAAGAGAAATCAGTGCACAAAGCAGCTCCATAAAGGCCTGGCTGGGTGAGTTTGGTGTCGAAGAGCTTGACTGACCCTCACAGAGCCCTGACCTCAACCCCATCAAACACCTTTGGGATGAACTAGAACGGAGATTGTGAGCCAGGCCCTCTCGTCCAGCATCAGTGTCTGACCTCACAAATGCTCTTCTGGATAAATGGGCAGAAATTCCCACAGACTCTCCAACATCTTGTAGAAGCTTCCCAGAAGAGTGGAAGCTGTTAGAGCTGCAAAGGGGACCAACTCCATATTAATGCCTATGGGTTTAGAATGGGGTTCATAAAAGCTCCTGTAGGTGTGATGTGGAGGTGTCCCAATACTTTTGACCATGTAGTATATTTGAGCTACATGCACGGCCTGAACCCAAACTCTGACAACATTAAATACGACAGGATCAGAATAACAGAAATGGACAGTAATAAAAGGGAAGTAGGAGTATGTAATGGTAAGTGTAGCAGTGTTATCTCAGTCAGTGAGCGTGCTCTTTCCCACAGAACAGGAACAGGAGACAAACATGCCTGGTACGATAAAGAGAGCAGAGTGAACTCTGTTGCTGGACTGGGGGAGATACGCTGTACATACAGTCTGTACTGTAAATACTGACACTGCAGTCACATAGCAGCACATAAAAACTGTCAACTGCTGGGTCTGATCCACTTGCACCAGCATAACATACACTAACACACCACCACCATGTCATGCTCTGTAGGGGTCCTGACCATTGAAGAACAGGGTAACAAAATACGCAGAGAAACAAACGGACTACAGTCTGTAACTGTGGAACTACAATGGTGTGTGTGTGTGTGTGTGTGTGTGTGTGTGTGTGTGTGAGTGTATATATATAGATATATCGCTGTTGTCAGAAGAAAACCTTGTATCCCCAAAATGGTAACTTTACAGGAGAAGACATAAACCTACTTTACTTTTAATGTAAGTCAATGGAACCAGGATTTTTTCCAAGTCATTTTGGGCTGTTTCTGTTAGTGCATTCATCATGAAAGTTACATGCAATGTAAAGGACAACAGGCATTTTCAAATAATGTCAAAAAATGAAAATGGTCAAAAATGGATATATATATATATATATATACTGTAAATGAACCAGAGTTACAGATAATACATACGCACTAATACTCAAACCAGTAAAATATAAACAATAGAACAAAACCATAATTAAATGACAAAGGAAAGCAGCAGAACGGTCAGTAGGCAGCGAGTACTCCAATGTACTCTACTGTAAGTTCCACTCTTTAGATGCTGTTACAGAAAATGCTGACTTACTAAAAGCTCTTGTTCGAATAGGAACGATGTCTCCTCTTCTAGCACCTCTGCTGAACTGAGAGTCTGCTCTTTGCATGATAAATGCTTTACTGGGGTTATGCAATGTCTGAAAACAAGGCAAAGGTTAACATATTTAACAAGCTTTCCTAACACAGAAGTCTATGTTTATTTAAGATTTCATAGGAATGACAGCTGTTGGGTTTCTGATCTAGAATTTGAAGAGCATGTTTATATAAAATTGTGTGCGTCTGTATATGTACACTGTACACACACACACACACACACACACACACACACACACACACACACACACATATATACAGTATGTGCAAAATTCTTAAGCACCTAAGCACATTATGCAAAGCCATTTATCTTGCCAATAAGTGGTTTTTCCTTTTCAATCACCAAATATCATTAGGATAAATTAAAAATGAAATGTAAAAATCTATGTTACATCTATCTATCTATCTATCTATCTATCTATCTATCTATCTATCTATCTCACTGCTGTCAGAACAAAACCTCATATCGTTTCTTTTGGTCCATTCATCATGAAATTTACACACAATGTAAAGACCAACAGATATGTTCAAATTATGTCAACAAAAAAAAACAACAAAAATGGAGATATGATGTTTTCTTCCGACAGCAGTGATGTATATATATATATATATATAGACAGACAGACAGATAGACAGAGCATGGAGCCCCCTGAGAGAACACAGGACACGAAGTAAGAGGGACTTTACACATGTAAATACTCATGTTGTTAGCACAACAACACAAACACAAGCTCTGTGGTGGCCAGTGGGGTGGCAGGGGCAGTTCTGGTGGCCTGTACTATATATGGCACATGACACTGTGTTAACGCTTCCTTGTTTATAGTTGTCCAGTCATACAGCACAGTGGGTTCAAGTTTGATTGCATTCAACCACAACAGCATTAGTGAGGTCAGGTACTGATGTTGGAACATTGCTGTGAGGATTTGATTGAGCATTAGTGAGGTCAGGTACTGATGTTGGAACATTGCTGTGAGGATTTGATTGAGCATTAGTGAGGTCAGGTACTGATGTTGGATGGTCAGTTCTGGATCACTCCAACTCATCCCAAAGGTACTGGATGGAGCTCCATCACTCCAGAGAACACAGTTCCACTGCTCCACAGCCCAATGCTGGGGGGACCATTGGGCATGGTGACCGTCAGTGCTTTACTATGGAGATTATACAAGCTGTGTGTACAACTGAACACCTGATTGCTGATATTAATACACATACACTGTTAAAAAAGACGGTTCTTCAAGGATTCAGTAGTAAAGGGAGTGGTTCTATGTAGAACCATGAGTTCTACATAGAACCTTTTCATGCTTAAATGGTTCTTTGCATGGAGGTTGTGTTGTATATGGTTCTACATAGCATCCAAAAGGGTTCTGCTATTGTTTATTGTGTAGATGTCACGTTCTCCATCGATGTGAAGAACCCTTTCATGATGCAAAGAACCCTTAAATCATGCAGTGTTCATTGTTCTTTGAGTGTTCATGGTTCTATATACAGAACCATTTTGTTTACTAAAGAACCCTTGAAGAACCACTTTTTAAAGAGTGTATCCTTATAATCCTATATTTTATATTTTCCAACCATGCAAAGAACAATTTAAGTATGAAATTTGGAACTTGGAACCATTCCCTTTATTAAAGAACCATCTTTTTAAAGAGTGCATCTTTTTTTGCACATGAAAAACAAGAAATAAACAGGAGATAAAAGAAAAAAGTACACGAAAATATTACCTGCAGGAACGCTTATTGGCGATCTGGCGCCTGTACAGCGTTACTGCTGCACCATTTAAGGTGGACTGGAAAATTCGTCCAACCAACTTAGTGAGAAAACAAAGTGGTAAACCAGCCCCACCCCACACACACACACACACACACACACACACACACACACACACACACACACACACCAGAATACTCTCCTCACTACAGAGTAGTGAGTATCGAGCACGCAAAGAACCCTGCAGCACTTCTACAACTCAGCTACAGTCCGACTTTAACACACTGATTCAGTCCTGCGCTTTAGAGACATCAGACGTCACACCGCATGTCCACTACAGTCCATAAGCGCCTTCTTCAACCATACGGCTCCTGATTTAAACTCCAATATGTGTTTTAGCAGTTCGGACAGTCTGAGCTCACTCTCGTACATACCTTTACCACACCGGGCAGCAGCGGAGAGGAGTCGACTCCAGAAGAATCGGTGCCTTGACTCCGAGTCAGGAGGGTTGTGGAAAGCAGTTTTGGTTTTTAATCCACCACTGACATGAGAAACAAGCAGAGAGTACATTTACATGCAACATTTTTTTAATGAATGAATGAATGAATGAATGAATATACTCTGACTCTGAGCTGACAACAGACCACTGACCACATCCTTCACGCTACCGGTACTCCCCCAAACACACCGACTACACACATCAGCGCAAAAACAACACAAACAGTACTATATATATATATGTGTGTGTGTGTGTGTGTGTGTGTGTGTGCGCCTATACAAATGGTTCTCTGTTCAGAGTCATGGCTCATTCGACCCTCACTGGACTATGTACTATACACTGGAGTTCAGTGTAACAGTTTTGTAACTGTGTATGAAAACATCTGCAGATTAAGGAAATACACAGTTCTGTTAAAGGCTGACCGTTATGGGACATGAGTAAGCAGTCAGGCTATGGCAGAGTACGTTCCACCGTCTGTGCTGCGTTTCCATCTGAACAAAATTCTCTCTTTTATCATGAAGGTCAACTGTCTTTTGCATATAATGTAAAACATGAAAAAAAAACAAAAAGAGATACAAGGTTTTGTCCCGACAACAACGATATACAGGGTGATTCAAAAAGATTCAACTGATTTCAAAATGATTTATTTCACTTGTAAATCATTACAGATCAATGCAGTGAACTGTAAATGGTTTAAGTGAACGACGAACGCTCTGAGCTGTTGGAGCTTCACCGCCCACGAAAATCACGCTGCACAGTTATGACGGATTCACTCTTATTGAAGTGGAGAACGCAGAATGCTTTCTGCTCAGGGGTCTCATCTCCTCTCAGACTGAAGGGAGCCATCTTCTACTGACAGTCGGAAACTCTATGACCCCCTCTTTCAATTGGATTGTGATTGGTTCCTAGGCGCCTCCCGGTTGTATAAACCCAGAAAATACTGAACTATTTTATTAGGTGTCACCCGGCCTACAAAAGACTCCATGTATTCTAATTCCATCAATCTCTTTATGTAATGAAGAAAACACAAATACGGTGTGAATTAAAAAGTGATTTTTATTCACACTACAAAAGACAGCAGCTTTACCCGATTACAAAGCAGTTGACACAAACCAACACCTACATCCTTAATCAGGATCTATGACAAAACTCTACTTGGGAACATTTATAACCCATTTTTCTGTGTGTTCACTGTGGCTTTTATCAGTCTAAAGCTATTTCATAGCAGGTCATACTAATAATACTGCTGCATTCTGAACTTAACTGATATGACTAATACTGATTAATAAGTGCTCATGAGTCATTAAATCATCTGCAATGACTATAGTTTATACCTAACCTATATTATTACTTAGAAATTGCAGAATTAAGTGATTAAGATGTAAACAGAGTCGTTCAGAGTGGTTTGGTGTGAAACGCTCTGTTCTAGAGAAACTTACAGAGTCAGAATTGTTCACAGTGGTGGTGATAGGAACCAGACGTCCACCTCTAAAAGCTCCCTCACAGAAAGTTACTACATGAAATGGTTATGAATTCACTGCCTGATGTCTGAGACACTAGATTAAAATTTATTTTTTAATACATCTACAGTGGAGGGGTACAAAACAGTCCCCAAAGAAAGCTTAGTACTTCAGATTTTCCACTATTTTCCATCATCAACATTCCATATAAACTCAGAAGACTCGTGTAGGTTCACTGGTGGTTCTGGATAGTAAATAAAATGTCTATATTTGTGTTGTAGTCATGGCGACCCCTGGTTCCCATCACCACCACTGTAAAGACATCTGAACCATTTCACACCAAACCACTCTGAATCACTCTGTTTACATCTCACATACTGAGTTATGGAGGTTTTTGTTTTTTTTTTTAGAAAATATCAAAAGAATTCCCTTTAACATAATTTATACACACTTCTATTATTATGAAAAATGTAATCAATCAAAAATTTGCTGTTCTGGGTTTAAAATGAATCTATATACCTAAAAAGCATGGTTCTTCAAGGGTTCTTCAGTAAAATCAATAGTTCTATATAGGACCATGAGTTCTATATAGACCCATTTGTATGCTTAAATGGTTCTTTGCATTGTGAAATTATTCTTCAATTTGATGGAGAGTATGTTGAATATGGTTCTATAAAGAACCTTTTCAAATATAATTCTACATAGCACCAAAAAGGGTTCAGCTATTGTTAAAGCTTGACATCGTAAAAATAGAAGAACCATTTTTGATACTATATAGAACCATTTAAGCATAAAATGACGCTATATAGAACTCATGGTTCTAAGTTCCAAAGAACCCTTGAAGAGTGATCTTTTTTAATTGTGTAGGATTTTGCAAAATGTCGCTTTGTTATTGATTGCAGAAGATAAACTTTACATATCGTGGCTGTCAAAACAAAACCTCATCTCCGTTTTTGTCATTTTTGACATAATTTGAAAATTCCTGTTGCTCTTTATATTGTGTGTAAATTTCATGATGAATGGACCAAAAGAAACAGCCTAAAATGACTTGGAAATTCTGGTTCCATTGACTTACATTAAAAGTAAAGTTCTTATTTTGGAGATACAAGGTTTTGATCTGACAAGAGTGATGTGTTGATGTTAATGATCTGTGCTGATTCGCTCATCCTGAACTCTGTGCATGTTAATTTCTGAAATCCAATGCAAAGGCAATGGATTTAAATTAACAGATTTACCCAAACAGCTAAGTTCAAAGTAAAAATCCTATTATAATCTTACTGCTTATCTAAGTGCACCTTTAATCCCCTCTACACAATGTATCTAAGCTTCAGGTCTAGGGGTCGAGCACTACAGCCTCCAGGTTATTATTGAATATAACCCTGCCATCCACCTCCTTGCTGCAGTCTGGATGTCTGAGCAGCTCCAGCACGCCTGCCCTCAGCTCCGGGGACGCGCTCTTACTGAAGTCCATCACCTCGGTCAGGAAGTCCAGCAGCAGCTCTCCTTTCTCGTCCCCTGGTGTGAAGCACTCCGTGATGTCCATCTGGGACGGCATCGTGTGCTTCTGGTACGGGATCCCTTTGGCGTCCAGGAAGCTCTTGACGTCTCCGGTCGTGACGCACTGGCTGATGTCGGTTTTGCACAGCTCAGCCCGGAAGGTTCTCCACAGCCGGCCCCACCCGCTCTCTCCTGCAGGGGGCGCAGTGAGGTAGTGTCTTATTATATAACAGTCTGTTTGGTCAATCATTGGTCAATCAGTTCTAACCAAACTATCTGCGCTGGTTTATCACATAGATTTTTAAATGGTACAGTGAGCATCACACTGAACACTCTCTTTACCAGTCAAGAAGATCTTAACACTAAGATGCCTTTGGGAATTATGGCCCAGATAGAATGTATATGCACATCTGCATATACTTAAACTGACCGTTACTAAGTGTCCACTTTAGCACATACAAAATCAGTAAATGAACACTTCAGACAACTTCTATGAGCATACCTGTCAACTTAATCTTACAACCCTGTTTCCAAAAAAGTTGGGACACAAGTTGTGCAAAATGTAAATAAAAACAGAATCCAATGATGTGCAAATCATTTAAACCCTAGATTTAATTGAAAATAGTACAAAGACCACATGGCAAATAGTGCAACAATTCAAGAATAATGTTTCTCAATGTAAAATAGCAAAGAACTTGGGCATTTCATCATCTCTGGTACATAATATCATTACAAGATTCAGAGAAACTGGAAAAATCTCTGTATGTAAGGGACAAGGCTGAAAACCAGTATATGCTGGCCGTGATCTTTGGGCCCTCAGGCAGCACTGCATTAAAAACAGACATGATACTGTAGTGGAAATCACTGCATGGGCTCAGAAACACTTCTGAAAAACACTGTCTGTGAACACAGTTTAACTGCATCTACAAAGGCAAGTTAAAACTCTACCATGCAAAGAAGAAACCACAAATAAACAGGATCCAGAAACACTGCCACCTTCTCTGGGCCTGAGCTCATTTAAAATGGACTGAGGGGAAGTGGAAAAGTGTCCTGTGGTCTGACAGATCAACAACTGAAATTCTTTTTGAAAATCATGGACACTGTGTCCTCCAGGCTAAAAATGAGAGGGACTATTTGGCTTGTTATCAGCACACAGTTCAAAAGCCAGTATTCATGATGGTGTAGGGGGGCATTAGTGCACATGGCATGGGTGATGTGCACATCTGTGAAGGCACCATTAATGCTGAACGATATATACAGGCTTTGGCAACATATGCTGCCATCCAGACGACGTCTTTTTCAGGGAAGGCCTTGATTATTTCAGCAAGACAGTGTCAAACCACATTCTGCATGTATTACAGCAGCATTGCTCTGTATTAAAAGAGTCCAGGTGCTAAACTGACCTGACTGCAGTCCAGACCTGTCACTACTGATAACATTTGGCACATTATGAAATGAGAAACACAACAAAGAAGACTCCAACCTGTTCAGCAGCTAAAATCCTGTATCAAACAAAAACTGGAAAACATTTCACTTTCAAAACTACAGCAGTGTCTCCTCAGTTCCCAAACACTTACAGAGTGTTGTTAAAAGAAAAGGTTATGAAACACAGTGGTAAACAGGCCCCCGTCCCAACCTTTTTGGAACTTGTTTTTGGCATCAAATTCAAAATGTGCATGTATATGAAAAAAAAAATCTGTTTCAACATTTGATATGTTGTATTTGTACTATTTTCTATTTAATAAATAGGGTTTAAATGGTTTGCATTTTGTTTTTATTTACATTTTGCAAAACAGCCATTTTTTGGAAACAGGATTGTAATATAAATATGGAGGAGGTGATGGAAATTTGTAGAATTTGTTAAAAACTGTAAGCCAACAAGCCCCCTCCAAAATCCCCCCGGCCCTGTGTCCTGAACTCTTCACTTTCATTATTTATTTATTATCTATATAAATACAAATTTGAACTTGAGCAGGTACTATTTGGGTGGTGGGTCATTCTCAGCACTGCAGTAACACTGACGTGGTGGTGGTGTGTTAGTGTGTGTTGCGCTGGTGCGAGTGGATCAGACACAGCAGTGCTGGTGGAGTTTTTAAACACTGTGTCCACTCACTGTCCACTCTATTAGACACTCCTACCTTGTCGGTCCACCTTGTAGATGTAAAGTCAGAGACGATAGCTCATCTGCTGCTGCACAGTTTGTGTTGGTCATCCTCTAGTCCTTCATCAGTGGTCACAGGACGCTGCCCACAGGACGCTGTTGGCTGGATGTTTTTGGTTCTCAGTCCATCAGGGACACTGAGGTGTTTAAAAACTCCAGCAGCACTGCTGTGTCTGATCCACTCAGACCAGCACAACACACACTAACACACCACCAACACATCAGTGTTACTGCAGTGCTGAGAATGACCCACTTGTAACTGCTCAAAATGTGACAGGAATACAGTCTCACTTCCTGCTCTAAAATGTAGGGGTGTGGCTAAACTAGGTCTCCACCTACAGACTAAAACTCTTTGACTATAAATGATGATTTTGTATATATTTGGCTTATTACTTTCTCTGTTAATGCCTTGGGTTTAAATGGATAAAGACATAATCCTTGTGAACATCTAAGCTCTGAATACCTCTTGCTTTTTGACCTCAGTTTGAACTAATTTTGTATAATGGACCTTATAATGGTCCATTTTCGGATGTCAGCTGGAATCAGCCAGAAACGAACAGCATACAATTCAGCAAAAAAGATGAGCTGTGAAACACTTTACAGACGGACGGGAACAAAACCACACGCAGGTTTGTCTGGAAAACCCTGAAAAAGCTGACACAGTTTTATGGCTCTATCTGTAGCACAAATGGGCACTACTTAATGTCTTTTTGTGGTGGAAGGATTTGCCGATATTAAAGCACATCTGATGCAATGTTTAGTTTTCAGAACTGTTGTATTAAATTAGTAGAACCGCATAGAACGTTAGTGAATAATATCACTGTTGTGATCTACGCCCTTAAAAAATGCTTCTTCAAGGGTTCTTTAGTAAAAAAACAATGGTTGTTTATAGAAGCATTGACACTCAGAGAACCATTTGCATGCTTAAATGGTTCTTTGCATGGTGAAATGCTTCTTCAGGTTGATGGAAAATATGCTGTAGATGGTTCTATATAGATCATTTTTGAAAAGGGTTCTAAATAGCACCAAAAAATGTTCTGATGTTGTTACAGGGTCAAGCTTTTAACAATAGAATAACCCTTTTTGGTGCTATATAGAACCACAACACATTCTACATCAATCTGAAAAACCATTTCACCATGCAAAGAACCATTTAAGCATGAAATGGTTCTCTGAGTGTTCATGAGTCTATATATGTTAAAGGATCCCTTGAAGAACCATATTTTTAAGAGTGTACTGTTCTTCACCTGACACCTGCAACCGAATCAGGGTTGATATTATCGGTAACGCACTCCTTGCGTAAGCATAGCATAATGCACATAACAGCATGGCATGCATACGGTCCTCTGGACTCACTGCACATGTTCATGTTTTCTCTCTATGCCTGTTTGAGCTCGAGTTAATTATTACTAACAAACTTTTCATGAAAGGACAGGGGGTCCTTGTCCTTGTCCGTGTGGGTTTCCTCCAGGGATCTCCAATTGGAGATGTCATGTTGCATGGTGTGAGTGTGTGTGTCTGAATGTCTGCCCTGTGATGGACTGGCGGCTGGTCCAGGGTGTTTCCTGCCTTCTGCCCAATGAACGCTGGGACAGACCCCAGCACCCACCATGACCCAGGAGGATAAGCATGATAGATAATGAGTTTCCAACAGTAGTCTTGCCAAAAAATAACCCAGTTCATATATTCTTTGCTTTGCACTTCGATCTGTTTCTTGTTAATCGAGTGTCCAGCATGTGATGGAACACTTAATGAAAATCCGTGGACTCCCCAGTCCATATATTTCATATACAGAAACTTAAGGCATTGTGTTGTGCAGTGTCCAAAACTTCAGAACTATCGTTTTTAAAGAGGGTACACACACCAGTGCCAACAGTTCTCAGGGCGTCACAGCACCCCACTCAACTAGATTAAATTAAAGCCATATCAAGACCACAGAAAGCCACAGTAGATCACATGTGGCTTGAGATTTACACTCAGAAAGGCAGTCAGTCGTTTATATATGCATAGTATTATATGTTAATAGTCTGTCACCTCAGCTAACTTAGCAAACCTAGATTTTTTCAGCTCCTATCTTTCAGCTTGAAATGGGCCAGTTTGTGAAGACGTAGTAAGCTAATGCCAAACTACGTTTTATTTCATTAAATTTAAAGTATAAAATGAACATAAACTTTGTTTATCTGTGATCTCCCACAAATTTACACATATCCAGCCTTTAAGCCTACAACAGTTTAGCCCCGCCCATTCACGCTGACGTCAGGAGGAGTGTTTCAGGCCAGACTGCTTTTTGATTCAGACAAATCAGAACAGAGCTTATTTACCTCTATCATTCTTAAAGGCACAGTAACAAAAACAGCCTGGTTAATTCTAGCGGATAAAGAGAGGTCAGAAAATGGTTATTTAAAAATGAATTACAGCTGATTTTGGTGTATAATCCACACAAATGTCATAAGTGAAGCACATAAGAAAATAAACTCCAAGAAAAATGTAGGACACAGGTGCTGTGATCTTCGCTTTGGGTGATCTGTGGAATAAACCTCATCTTAACAACACTGACTGTCCTCAATACACGACGGATCTAATGAGATTTGATTTTTAACACCGACAGACGAGTTTACTACTGAGATTCTGGGTTGGGCTGCAGTGCAGCTGCTATTAAAATAACACAGGACATTTTAATCTAAACAGTATTTGTGTAGGAACACACTGAAAGTTACCTGCCCTGGATTACAGCTGAGGGTGTGTGAATGGGCCCCTCCCTGCACTGTAAATATGACTCACTCACTTTACCTGAGACCAGTATGATGAGCAGTTTGCCATTCTTGTGCAGTAAACCTCGAAAAAATGTCACTGTGGCCTCTGGATCCTTCACATAGTACAGCATCTGTAGAACACAGTGAATAAGTAAGATGAAAACAAACCACCTCATTCATTCTTAATATTAATCAAAATAATACTGAAGAGTGATGAAGAAACACATTATGTAGGAACCTGAATCATGTGAATGAAGTCCATTCTTTTCTCTGGGCTTCTCTCTTTCCAGTCCTTCTCGAACTCCGATGCGGTCATCTTATTCCACCTGAAGGTGATGTGATCGAGGTCTGGTGTCTTCGATACTAAAACTGGACAAAGTGAATGTTCCTGATCAGTACAGTGTTACTGTCCATCACTGTGCTCCTTGTACTGTTTTTAAATTGTAGTTTTTGTTCCCCACAAGTTTTAAAGCTAAAAAGTCAGGGGGAGCTCAGATCTCATAATAGAGCAATAATATGTACTGATTAATGAACATCTATCTGAAGTAGAACTACAGAACTGATATATGGGTCAGTTGACTACTCCCATTTCCATGGTTACACTACAAAAGAAGTGTCCAATCTTATTCACAAAAGGCCAGTCTGGCGGCAGGTTTTCAGTATAAACAAGCAGGAGCACCCCTGATTTCACTTGTTTATTTAGTTGGTCTTAGTCTTTTAACAGTTGATCAGGTGAGCTCCAGCTTGAAAAGCTGCAGCCACACCGGCCCTTGGCAGGTAAGACTGGACGCCCCTCCACTATGCCCATTATCATGGTGACACAACACTCATTTCCATGTTGACATTACACCCATTTCCATGGTTACACTACAGCCATTTCCATGGTGACAATACACCCATATCCATGGTTACACTACAACAATTTCCATGGTGACACCACTCTCATTTCCATGGTTACACTACTCCCATTTCCATTGTGACACCACTCTCATTTCCATGGTTACACCACTCTCATTTCCATTGTGACACTACTCTCATTTCCATTGTTAAACTATACGCATTTTCATGGTTACACTACAGCCATTTCCATGGTTACACTACTCCCATTTCCATGGTTACACTAGACCAATTTCCATGCTTACACTATAGCCATTTCCATGGTGACATTACACCCATTTCCATGTTACACCACACCCATTTTCCACTGTGACACCACTCTCCTTTCCATGTTTACACTAGTAAAGTAAAATGAACAGAGCGATCAGTCCATACCTTTATATTTGTAAAGCATGTCACCGCTGGGCTCCACCACCTCATTGTCCACTTTGGCCTCTGGATGCTTTAAGCGCAGCTGCCCGAGCATTTCCAGGTCAATCTCCCCTGGAGATGATATTAAATAGGAGTGATGCAATATAATGATGCATCAGAAATTCTGAGCACAGGTTGTAAGGTCAGCATTTCTAGAACACTGAACAACTCTGTAGATCATTTAAAAAGGCTCATTATCAAAAAGACGTATTATTATCAATTACAGAGAGTCCGTAAACGACAACCACCAGTATAAACTGCAAAGTAACAAGCAGCTGATTGGATGATAGCCCATTCATTTTAATAATGTTTCCATACTGATTGCTGGGTTTTGTCATCCTGTTCCTTCTTAAATATTTTTTTTTTGCAAGTGATGATTAAAAAAACATTCAAAGGCCTTTTTAAACATAGCACAACTGTTTCACTGATGCATTTTTTCAGCTCCAACTCATCTGCAAACCTCAGGAAAATACTGTGATAAATATTGTGAAAATGTCTTCAGATATGATGATGATATCATTTATGCCATATCATTTATCAGGTGTGAAATATGCCCTCGGAATGTACGTAATTCCACTGTAAAGGCTGTAATGATATGGGGGTCATACCTGCTCCACTTCCGACTCCCATCACATTCAGAGTGCTTTGTCCAGATCCGATGCTGCAGGACAGAGGGAGAGTGAGAAACAGATTATTTTACTAGTTATCAGCCCAGTGCATTCACTGATGTTATGACAGGCCCAGTGTACCTGGCCAGTATGTCTGGAAGCGTGGCATGGATGAAATCTCTCATGCACTGGTGTTCAGAGGAGCGCTCCAGGAACAGCTGGAAACACTGGAGGTATCTGGAATAATCCTCCACCAGACTTCTGAGAGGAGCTGCCATCACTCTGGAACACAGTAACATATTAAGTAGCCGTTTAATGGAAAATCTGAACCTCTGTGTTCCTTCTGTTCCCATATCACAAGCACATGCAGTGAGGAGAGGTCAGAAAGCAGCCAGTGTGGCCAACAGAGGTCAGTTTTTAGCCTTTACATGCAATCATTTTTCCAAAGCAAATAACAGATAACACAAAAAAAGAAATAAACAAAGGCAAACAGTGTCACTCGTATGAAGAATCAAAAGTCACTGGAGTGCTAACAGTGCCCCCTGGGGGAGAATCTTCATCCTGCTTAATGTAAGTGAATGAGATGAATGAGTCAGTTAAACCCAGCTCCTTGAGGCGCTTTGCGTCTAAACATACGATTTATATACTTACAGACATCCAAACAGATTTAAATGTATATGATTAATATTTATATGAAGCTAAAGAACCAAGTATATCATAAAGCAGCTTTCTCTGAGTTTTAGTACCAACGATCAGTATTTCAGTTTTTCATGATTTAGTTGTAGAACATTTTGTGACCTCCACTGAGAAATATCTGACACACAGCTGGTCAGTCTGTCTACAGAGTCCTGACCATCAGAAGGAATGCAAATGTATAACTGTGTGTCATCAGCATAGCTATGAAATTGATGTTATGTCTCCTAATGACATCATCGAGAGGTAACATGCACAAAGAGAAAAGCAAAGGCCCTAAAATTGAACCTTGAGGCACTCCAAGATCCAGAGAAGTACAACAGGGTCAAGATCACAAACGGATGAACTTAATTTCTTTAGAAGAGTTTTAAGATCCTGATAATTGATAAAAGAGAAAGATTATAACTGATGTAGGCGGCTTATCAGGAAGATTATAGGAGCTTCTTTCAGTTGGCTGAGCTACACTCTGTTTTATCAAGTTTATTTTATTCCGAGTGATATAAAGCACGCCACCACTGGACTCAGTGAACAGTGGAAATGTATTCTGTGGAGTGACGAATCAGCTTCTCTATCTGTCAGTCTGATGGACGAGTCTGGGTTTGGCGAATGCCAGGAGAACGTTACCTGCCTGACTGCACTGTGCCAGCTGTAGAGTTTGGTGGAGGAGGGATGATGATATGGGGCTGTTTTTCAGGGGTTGGTCTAGAACCCTTAGTTCCAGTGAAGAGAAATCTTAATGCTTCAGCACCAAGACATTCTGGACAATTGTACACTTCCAATTTTGTGGAACAGTCTGGGGAAGAACCTTTGCTGTTCCAGCATGACTGAGCCCCAGTGCACAAAGCAGCTCCATAAAGGCCTGACTGGGTGAGTTTGGTGTGGAAGAACTTGACTGGCCCTCACAGAGCCCTGACCTCAACCCCATCAAACACCTTCGGGATAAACTAGAACAGAGATTGTGAGCCAGACCCTCTCGTCCAGCATCAGTGTCTGACACTCTCCAAAATCTTGTAGAAGCTTCCCAGAACAGTGGAAGCTGTTAGAGCTGCAAAGGGGGACCAACTCCATATTAATGTCTGTGCCAATACTGTTACACACACACAGACACATTTTATATATATATATATATATATATATATATATATATATATATACACACACACACATATATATATATATATATATATATATATATATATATATATATATATATATATATATATATATATATATATACACACACACACATATATATATATATATATATATATATATATATATATATATATATATATATATATATAAAATATTGTCGGAAGAAAAATCTCTATTTTTGTTGTTTTTCAGTTATGACATAAATTTCATGATGAATGGATCAAAGGAAGCAGCCCAAAATTAGTACTACATAAAAGTAAGTAGTTTTCCTTCTCCTGTAAAGTTACCATTTTGGAGATATGAGGTTTTCTTCCGACAACAGCGGAAACCTTGTATTTCCAAAATGGTAACTTTACAGGAGAAGGAAAACTACTTACTTTCAATGTAAGTCAATGGAACAAGTCATTTTGGGACGTTTTTTGGGTCCATTCATTATGAAATTCATAAATAATATAAAGGGCAACATGAATTGTCAAATTATGTCAGAAACTGAAAAATGATAAAAATGGATATATATATATATATATATATATATATATATATATATGTATATATATATATATATATATATATGTGTATATATATATATATATATATAAAGAATTAAAAAATAAGTTATAAATAAGTTAAAATACAAAAATAAAATGTTCCAAAGATTCCAAAAGTGGATATAAACTTCAAAATGAATGTAAACAGATTCAAACATTTTCAATTCAGCATCATTACTGTTCGCAGGATTAATTACATATATAAACATAAACAAGCAAACAAACAAAACTTAGGCCGACACCTCAGTCATGTCTCACACTAAGTGGTGAAAGTGTGTTAATGTGTTACTGAAGAAGACCTGCTGGTTATGTACACTGTCTGTCTCACAGTGAAGGACAGTCACTCACACTCGGTCAGTCCGGCTCTGTGTATCAGACAGGCTGAGATCCTCTGTCTGCTGTAACAGCGCAGACCGTTTCTCAGCCGTTCAGCAGAGCAGAGGAGCGGAGAGGAGAGGAGAGGAGAGGAGAGGAGAGGAGAGGAGAGGAGGAGAAAGGAGGAGAGGAGAGAGCGAGTTTACGCTGAGCTCCAGGCGCTGAGACTCGCCATGCTGCTCTGATCCGGAGAGGACAGACGAACAGCGTTCCTCACTGATACATTCACAACACAAAACATCGTTTAATCACGACACAGAGGCACGAATACACACTTACTGCAGCCTTCGGTCCGCGGAGCGAGCGAGCGAGCGAGCGAGAGAGAGAGAGAGAGAGAGAGAGAGAGCAGCTCCACCCACAGTCTTAAAGACACAGCTCTGCCTCTGCACGACTCAGTAGAAGTAAATGGGATTCATCAGCTCGATACAACTGCCTTATTTATGCTCCTCCTCCGTTTGCCTTCCTCCTAGCAACTGTTGCTATATTTTCAGGCATCACTATTCAAAATAATGAGAAACTGTGGTGCACAACTCAGTCCAAAACGTCCAAAAGTGTCCATACACCCAGACAACAAATGTGCACTGCGCCTGATTGGGGCCAAATGCAGCGCTGCATCTGGTCCGGATCCACAATGCAGAGCTGGCCCGGCGTCTTTCTGCACAGCGGCCCAATACCACGACTGATCCACTTTACGGATCTGCCCCAAAACAGATTAAAAACCAGCCCAGATGAGCAAAGAACAGCATTACATCTGGCCCTGAACTGTTACAGGTCTAAATATTATCTTCATATGTGGCCCAAATGTGGCACGGACCCAGTTCAGAAGAGGTTCAAGCTCAAGTTGATATCTCTGGAACGGATCCGGCCCTGATTTGTTGGATCTGCACCGGATCCGTTCCAGAGTCAGTCTTTCTAATAATTGAGCTGCAGTTCGTGATTCTGAAGAAAGATTGTTGATATTTCTCAACAGCAAAACAAAACAGGCCCCTTCAGTCCTCCTTCAGAAGCTCTGCCCCTCAGATAGAGTGCCAGGATCAGGCGTGTCAAACTGGGGAGCTTCTGGGCCAAAGTGCTGCGGAGATGAACGTTTACCCTCATCTAACGCTCTGAATTCAGTTCACGAAAACCTCGCTAACTAGCTGACGAGCTAAATCAGGTGTGTTTAATGAGGTAGCGTGGTGAAGTCTGCAGTCCCTGAGAGCAAGAGGATAGTGGACCACTGTCAGCCCGCTCATGGCAAAGCTGGTGGCCCACTGGTGTTTTGCTCAGCGTTTTCTGGGCGGCCCACGGGTGTTTAAGCAGAGTAATAGACAAAATTCTCCACTCCAATTTTCCAATCACAGTCTAATTTACTGATTTTTCATTCCTTTCTTTCTTTAGTTACACTTGGTAAATTAGTTTAGTAGATCATTTTAATCCAGCTCAGCGTCAGCAACATTTTTTATAAAATAATTTTAGTCATTATTTTTTTTCTCTCTCAGTTGTTTGTAACATTTGTCTTTATTTTATTTTCCAAAATAAAAGTCTCTGTGTTTTTAAAATCTATTTAAGGAGAATAAAAACTAGTTAGAGCTTGTATGCAGGACAGTAATCTGGGTGGTCCGAGAGTGGACCAGCAGTGGCAAACAGTCAGCAGGGTCTGACCTGATCAAGCCAGCGGACCGATATATGCTCACTATCTGGGGTGTTTTGGCCCACCAGGACCAGAAGCTTGACACATGTGGCCAAAGCGAAAGTCAGTGGGCTTGCAAACCTGTTTTTTTTAGATCTTTGTGGCTGTAAAATCCTTTGCAAACGTAGTGCAGGCGAATACCATGACAAAGTCAGAACAAACAACCACACAGCAAGCAATGTAACTAACGTTAGCTAGGCTGTGGGTTAGCAAACTGACGCTACAATTGCTGCTGTGAAGCTGATCAGCTGGGATTAATTATGACACCAGCAAAAGCATTAAACACAAGTAAAATGTTGGATACAGGCTCTTTAATTTGAACATTTGAATTCCTGATTATGTGTTGGAATATTTTGCCCCTCTTTGTCCGTAAAAGCTCCTGATTTTCAATCAACAGGCGCACAAACTGACCCTTTAAAAGCTGTATTATTTTCTCCTCTGACCGCACAGTTGGGGAACATTATTTCCATCTTCGTGGCGAGTGTTGGGGGAGGGAGGCAGGGCAGTACGGGTTAAGTGTCTCCCTAATAGGCTCCATGGCAGTGATCAGAATGAGGGCAGGAATATTAGACCCTGCAGCTCTGCAGGACACGGCTGATTTCCTCCAGCATCCCAGCTGAGACTCTACATACAGCCTGCGGTTGCCAGGCAGCAGCCCTGAGAGCCAATCTCAGGCCTTAAGAGGCTCTCTCTCTCTCTCTCTCTCTCTCTCTCTCTCTGCTCAAGTGTGAGAGGGAACCCTGTCAATCCTTGACACTAAGAACCATCAATAAACGCTTGAAGAGGTGCTTTAGGTTGACATTGACTGTTTTAAGAGTACATATAGGAATTTCTGGCACTTTAAATAGATGAAATGCTCATTTATAGAAACCGTGTTTTTGGTTTCCTCTTGTTCTCCTAGTCTTATGTTACATTTTATAGGAGGATCTGAAACCATTTAGTGTGACAAATATACAAAAATAGAGGGGCAAATACTTTTTCACAGCACTGTACATAATGAATCACATACACAGTAGAAGCGCATTCTGTATCAACAGGTTCAACTCTGCATTTTCCAGTCCTTCCAGTCTTTCCTGTTTGTTTTGATGTTAAATGAAGACAAACCGTGGCACAAATGGACTGTTTTTACTTTGTACACAACACTGAGGCTTTTGATCAAATTCAAATCATAATAAATTCTCTTCTTCTACTTAAAACCCAAATGTTGTCTGGAGTGAAAGTTTACAGTCTGCACTTTCCATACAGTTGCTTTATTGAGCTATGAGTCAGAAATGAGTTCATATATAATTATATAACACAAGCTGCCCCGTGACTTCTAAAGGTTAACCTAATCTTCACTGTTATTCATTTATTACACACACAGTGCGGCGTTTGACGCATCCCCAAGAGACACCTCAGAAAAACAAAAGAGAAAAAACCTGAATTGATATATTGTCCAAACAATACACAATATTTCTCACCTGACCGCTTTGGGATTACCTAAAATTGATCTGAAATCTGATATATGGTCATATATCACTGCTGTCAGAGCAAAACATCGTATCTCTATTTTTGTCCTTTTTCAGTTTTTGGCAAATTGTGAAAATGCCTGTTGTCCTTTACGTTGTGTATTAATTTTGTTGTTTATTAAGTAGCGATGATGTGAAGATGCTGAAGAAGTCTCCGCTGACCCCGCATTACTTGCATAAGATGTTTATTACAAAGTAAAACGGTATCACATCAAGCACTATAAAGTACCTGAGAGAGGATCCGTGCCAATTGTGTCCCGTCCAGAACAGGATAAACCAGCTGCTTATATAGGGTGCTTGTTGTTGAAAAAGCGAACTGAACATATGGCCCTTTTACATTGATCTCATCTATGTGGAACTAAGAGAGAGACCTTTGGACCAGGGGGCCTTTAACGTAAACATTTCAAATCCTGCAGGACAGATAACACAGAGCACTTCAGACCTCACCTTATACTTACAGAAGTTTAAGAGTGTTTTTACCTTCTTCTGTAAAACTATTCTTCTAAATACACCTCAATTTCATAATGAATGGACCAGAATTTCTTGGAAAAGTAAAGTATGTTTTTTCCTTCTCCTGTAAAGTTACTATTTTGGAGATGTGTAGTTTTGTTATATATGAAAACTATATATATATATATATATACATACACACACAAACACACCAGTGCTTTATATATTCTGATTTGGCCCAAATGAAGTTTCATTATTCATGTGTAAATATGTTCCTACATGGTTCTTGATAGTGATCAGTGGTTATGGATGTGAGAATCTATGAAAGACAATCTGAAGACTGTAATAAATAAATAACAGTGAAGACAGTTAACCTTCTGAAGTCACAGGCGGTGATATAGACATACTGTAAGTTTATATGAACTCATTTCTGACTCATAGCTCAATAAAGAAAGTCCAGAAACTGTGTGGATAGTTCAGACTGTAAACTTTCACTCCAGACCAAATTTGTGTTTGTAAGTAGAAGAAAAGAAAATATATTATGATTTGATTTTGATCAAAAAAATTGTGTAATATGTACAAAATAAAAACAGTCCATACATTCAACAGTACATGCATATCTATACATACGTGTTATGAATAAGTATACAGTATATAGTGTTGTGTTAGTGTTTAAATGCTTTTTTTAAAGCAAGAAATCAAAATGAAATATACCAGCAATAATAATATGTTTTTCTATCGTATGTTGTTAAATACACATATCTTTATACATGGTGATGTATGGCTGAAATATATGTTCCATTTTTTCAAATAAGTTGGCATACATGTCACATATATGTGCATATGTAACTAATATAAGTTGGATATTAGGGAAATCCATAAATGCTAATATATGTCATATATTTGAAATCCATATATTGCCATATATTAGATTTCCATATGGGTATGTCTGAAATATCCGGGAATAAAAGTATCATTCATTACTGTTTTTAAAGAAGTCAAAGAAAGTGTGCTTATTTTTTTAAGTTATTGTTTTGCCACATTAAACGTCTCTGAGGCGTTTCTGGTATACAGTGTAGTTTGCAGCTGTCACTACAGACGAGTGACAATGAAATCACAGCAGTATTGATAGAAACAGTGCAGAGATTCAAGTGAAAGTGGCTTCATACTGACACCCTGAAAAAGCCAGTCAGAGTTCAAATCTGAGCCTATAAAATGCAGCCAGATGATGAGCTGCCAGTTAACCCTTCAGAGCTTATATGAGCTTAAAATGTCTGTAATTAAACTAAAGCTGACATCAAAATCCAATACAGAGCCAAGCTAGCAGGGTTAACATGGTGAAACAAATCCGATCTGCCCTGCAGTGTGAACAAATCCTAACAGACGTAAAGTTGGGTTTGTTGTAACATGGGACGGCTCTCCAGACGGAGGATGTGGACCCAGGCCGTCCGAGTTATATTGCAGAGGCCTACCAGGTGAGCCACCACAGGTTTTAGGGAGACATGACTTAAGTGCCAGGCTAATGCACAACGGGAAGGATGAGCTCAGCTAAAAAATTTAAATAAGTGATGAGGCTGGGATTGAAACCAGGCTGTATCAGTGCTGCATGAAAACAGG